GAGAGGGTAGCATCAGAGGGCTGCAGGGGATGGGATCCATTCTGTCTCTCTCCCACCTTGTGGTGGAGGCACCAAGCCCCAGCACCGAGGAGGAGGTGGAAAGGCTATGGTTAGCACTGGATCATAGATGCCTTGGCTTCCCTCAGCCTTTCCTACTACAGTAATAGCTTCTTTCCAGCATGAATCCATGTTCTTCTGCTTACGTGGGTCTTACAGAGCTGGTCTGGTCCAAATCATGGAACTGCAGCTTAACAACTGTCTGCAACTCAGAAGGGCCACACTAACCACTGGTGTGAACAGTCATGGCTGGGACATATGCCACGTCATTCCCTTTTCTTGCCAGACCCTTTTTTGTTGTGTGCTACCCCATGTTACGTTTGTTGCAGACTGGGAGCAGTGGACATACATGGGATGTCCGCTCTACCCTCAGGACTTAGGGAAGCAGCGGTCACTTGAGAGGATGCCTGAGCCTGCAGAAAGGGCAGAACTTATGGTTGTGTGAAAATCCACTGGTGGGAACCCAGATATCACCTTCCAGCCCTTAACTGTGCCGGAGAGTGCTTTTCAAAGCAGAAACAGAAAGAAACAAGCAGGGACATGGGGACAGAGCATCCAGCTCTGGGGCCCCCAACATAAGGACATGGACTTGTTGGAGCAAGTCCAGAGGAGGCCATGAGGATGAGTCCGTCTTTGGACTATCTCCAGCATTGGTAACCTTCCATCTATTTGCTGGAGGCAGATGTGGACTGTCGCAACCAGCTGCTCCACCCTTAGTTGTCTTCTTTTGTGTACAAGTTGTGGCATCACAGCCTGTCTCCTCTTCCCTTTGCCCATGTACCTACCCTACACAGCTGGGGCAGGTAGCAGTTCACAGATGAGCCCTACCACATATGGCTGTCTCATGGGGTTGCAGAGTGGGAGAGACAGTCTGCAGCTAATGCGGGACGTGCTGGCCAGGCTGCATGCTTGAGTGTGGCAGGAATCAGTTGCATGTCTTCAGTACAAGACATCACCATGAGCAGCTGAGAACAGAGCCACAGCCCATTACGACTCAACCTCCCAGTTCCTCTGGAGCTTCTGGGAAGCCTCAGCCACCGATAACCTGTGTGTGCTTCAAGTGACTGTCACGGCAAGCTATTAGCTAGTTGCTTGTTGGGCAATTTGTCACGGGTTGATAGACACTCAGCTTGCTTGCAGACTTCAGGTGAACATGACAACCTCCATCCATGTGTGTTCAGTGGAGTATGGATCAAACAGGAGACATACAAATCTCAGTGGGGTCAGGAGCCTGTGAGAGGCCTGGATCTCTCCTCCTGGTTCTGCTCAGACCAATACACTGGAAGCTGTGAGCTGACGGTCTTCCTGGCTCAGCAACAGTCTGTGCTTGCATCCTCCCAGAGCTTCCCCAGCACATCTTCTCCAGCAGGAACCCAGACCATGGAAGAACATGCCAGAGGGTAAAACAGAGTGGACATAATGCAGTAGTTCATACATAATAACAAAAATATTCTTTTTAATATTAAAAGTATAAGTTGGTTAAAGTTAGGAGGGATAGATGGGACATCACACTTACTAAGGTTTGCCAAGATTTCTTACTCAGGACCATGTCCTAACTGCATTTAGCTTCCTATTTTCTGGCTGCATATAGCTGTGACAAGCTTTAGCTATTTGACTGGAATTTAGCTTGAGTGGTGTCCGGTTCCTACTGGGATTTTTGGATGGATGACAGGGAGATGGGGAATTTCAGTTCAAACCCTTTGGCTTGTTTTAAAAAACTGGAGTTAAAAAAGCATCATTATTCACCTCACATTAAGAAAAAGGCCAGCAAAGCTTTGCTGGAAAGGTTCCTCCAAAGATTTGAGCATTGGTTCTGTTGTTGTTTCTGTTCTGGTCTATATTATGCCTTCACTATGGGAAAGTAAAAATTTAGCCTACATTAGGTTTTCAGTATTTACTCAAGATTACAGTGTGGTCATGCTCAGGAGAGTCTTGGTAGTTTTGCAGGTAGATTCCTTGAAGATGCTGTGTTGGCTCAGCCCTGCTATTGGTGCATGGGAAGACCAAGTGCCTGGGGCTGATTTTCTGTCCTGGATTTGGTGGTAAAGGGATTTGCAGGTCTTTCATCTTCATTTGAGATGGCAGAAGAACAAGCAAGAGGATACTTGGTCCACATGTGCAAACCTGAGGACTGTCCCAGGGGCTTGTTTTGACCTCCCTTGGGAGGGCTCAGCTCCTGTGAGCCACAGGGGGCTGATGTGCTGGTGTCCCGGGAAGTCTAGGCTGGACTTTCTCTTGTCAGGGAAAGGCAGACTGGCTGAGAGAGAGGTCAAAGGGCTGTGGGGGCAAGTCCAAGAGAGGGTGTGAGCAGATCCCTCCACAGGGACTTGATACAGATATCTGCTGCCAAGCTCCTCTATAGGCTCTTCCCAGCCATTGGAAAGCAGGTGGTAAGTCTAGGGCCTGATCCACTGTCCATGTGTGATTCTGTGAAAACCAGGACATCCACCCAGCCTGAAGTAGACCCCATTGCCCTGTCTGTCTGTCTGCATCAACTCTACAGCAAGCCTGGCCTGCTAGCTCAGGCAGTTGTCTATAGATTGTACATCATATATGGTGACCAGCTGGAGTCATCTCATGGAGAGGTATCACTGTCCCCTTGCCAGTCTGCATTGTACAATACACTCTGCAAGGGAAGTGTCACTACATCAGTGATTTTGATAGTTCAGATTTGCTTACAATTAGCTTAAAGACCTCTAACTTGGCTCTCGGTTTGTTGGTGAGGCTGGGAAGGACTGTTGCAGGGGATCCATCTGCAACACAGGTCTCTCCCTCTATGGATCTGGTGGATGAAAAGGGACATTCAGTGGGATCATCATAAAATTTCTCCTGAAACCTACTACCACACAGTCCCTTTGCTCTGCTTTAATTGGTCAAGGAGGACTTAATAAAGAAAAAAGTCAGAAGCCCTTTCTAAAGATTACTCCTGCACTCAGCTTTTGCACTGTTATGCTGAAAACCACAGAGGACCAGAGTGCAGAGGGAAGACCACTTGTAGTGCTCTGCAAAGAACGGGCCATGGGGTGGATCTGGGAAATAGCCTGATGTGAAGCAGTGGCAGGGTGGCAGGAGATCAGTGGGGTTGTCCTCTATAGCCTGGGTCTCACTTTTTCTGGTCTCTTTTTACAGGCAGGGTTTCGTACATCTGTCGGCAGCACCTGGCTGTGCCTAGTGCGATAGGTGCAGGGATGCACACGGATGCATGTGGAGAAGAGGTAAAACTGCCAGCCTTGCCTCAAGGAGGGACCTGCCTCATCTCACAACTGTGGCACGTGCAATCCTGGAGGAGCATTTCTCCCCAAACCCGTCCAATGTGGGGTTCTGAACTCCCTGGCCCAACTGTGTCTCTCAGCTGTGGGGAGCAGGACATGGAGAGTGGGTCAGATCCTGGGTCCAAGATTGTCTGGGTTATGGGACTGGAGCAAAGTCAGCCTGGAACTGGGGTTCCCCTTAGGATCTGTCCTGCTCAGCCTATACCCCTGTGAATCTGTCCATACCCAGGCCATAGAAGTGTTTGGGGTTGAAACCCCCCTCTCCCTTTGCTCCTTGCCCAGGTGCAGAGGAATCACCAGATGGGGGGAGGCTGCTGACATCTCTATGGCCTCCACAAGGTGAGGGGTTATAAGAGCAGAGGCAGCTGCAGCTCAGCAGCTCTTGCAACCAAGAACTAGTAGATCCCTGCCCTAGGCAAGCAACTAATTATTTTACTGGTAACAAGAGCTGCAGATCAGCAAGTCAGAGCACCCAGAGCTCATTGCTGACATCTGGGCACCCTCACAGCTTCTCAGAGGTGATGTATAATCCCTGGTTTACAGAGAGGGAAGCTGAGGCAGGGAGTTTAAATTATATGCTTGAGACATGAGGTAGGAATAGAATTAGGGGGAGAATGCAGGTGTCCCATCTGTCTGCTATTATTGATTAGCCATGCTTCCTGTGGAGGTGAAGACAAGTAGTGTTTTAAAACAGATTCAGCTGTTATTGTACCTCATCCTGAGCCTCACACAGAAAATTCTGCTTCCAGAAGAGATCATTTATGGTGGCACCATGTTCACTTTGCAGCTGCAGGAATTACAATGGAGAAAAGCTTGCACAGCACTGTGGGGCTACAGCCCATGGCTCAGGATGCTGCTTGCAAGATGGGCAGGCTTTGCATCTATAGACATGTTCACCGATAAGGTGCAGCACAGCATCCTTCCCTTGTCCTACAGAGAGAGCATCTCATGGTATATTTAATAAGGATGCTTTTGCCAGAGCCTTAGCTGGCAACTTATAAAACCTTTTAGCAGTGCTTGTGTGTCAGGAAAAGTGTCACTCTGGAA